TGGTGAGTAAAACACTGGGCACTCAGTGACTATGGAAGCAGGGGTCTCCAGCTGCGTTAGTAATCAATATATTCCTCACTGCGGGGTCTCACAGTGACAACCCAAACAGTCATTCTCACTTAAGAACGAATGTCCTTGATCAAACAATAAAAATGATTAATGTGATTAAGTCTCTGCCTTTGAGCACACATCTTTTTATTATCCTGTGTGATTAATAGTGAACTATGTATTAGGCACGTCTGTCTTTGAGTAAAAGCATTTGCACATATGAGATGCAAGTTAGACCAGGCACTTATATTTTCATAAAACATCATTTTTACTTGAAAGAATAAATGACAAATTATGGTTTTTCAGACTTCAAAATTTGGCAGACATTTTCTCAAAAATGAAGTAAGCCTGTCACTTCAAGGAAAATAACAGACAGTATTTATTGCCAATGACAAAATTTAAGCTTCCAGAAAAACTTTGGAAAACTTGTATTTATTACTATGAATTTGATATTTTTCCAACACCTAAACACTTTCTTGGTGAGACTGGAAGTGATATAAACGAATATGATTTTTGATATTATATGATGAAACATCTCAACATCTGTAAAACTCAGTATTTCAAAGAACTAGAGTATAATGTTATAAAAACATTCACTTATAAGAGATTCAAAGTGTAAAGCATAGCAATGAATCTTAATATAACAGAATACAAGTTGATTGATATTTTGAACTATAATTATCCTCCAAGAAACTACTATTTGTAGATTTTTGGTGTAATACCGAAGGAGATTATTTGCAGTTATCTGAAAAGATTATCGAGAGTTTTTTCTCTTTCAATGACATATCTGTGTGAGACAGAATTTTTTTTTCTTTTTTTTTTTCCCTTTATTTTATTTTATTTTTTTTAAAGTTGTAGATTTACAATTTTTTGTGCTTTGGTTTCAATTATACAATGATCAGATACCCATCCCTCCACCAGTGCCCATTTTCCACCACCATGGATAATATCCCTCCCACCCCCATCCCCCCATCCCCCCTGTCTCTGTGGCAGGGCAATCCCCTGTGTTCTCTCTCTCCTTTTGGGTGTTGTGGTCTGCAAAAGAGGCATTGAGTGGCAAACATGTTCAGTCCATAGTCTACTTTCTACATGCATCTCCCCTCCTGGGAGGATCCTCCAAACATCCTTTATTTGGTGCTCCCTTCTCTATCTGAACAGCCCTTTCCTCTAGGATACCCGGCTGGCCTCTAAGTTATGGAGTAATCCTCCTGGTGCTGATCTCAGCTATTCTTGGGTATTAATCTCATACTTTGTTACTTTATATCCCCCAGATGAATGCAATCTTTCTATGTCTATCCCTCTCTTTCTGACTCATTTCGCTTAGCATGATACTTTCCATATTGTACCACTTGTATGTAAATTTCATGACTTCATCTTTTCTAAGAGCTACATAGTACTCCATTGTGTAGATGTACCAAAGTTTCTTTAACCAGTCATCTGTTCTTGGGCATTCAGGTTTCTTCCAGTTTCTGGCTATTGTAAAGAGTGCTGCAATGAACAAACAAGTGCAGATGTCACTTCGACTATACATTTTTGCCTCTCTGGGATATATTCCCAGGAGTGGTATTGCTGGGTCAAATGGGAGCTCAATTTCTAATTTTTTGAGAATCGTCCATACTGTTTTCCAGAAGGGCTGAACCAGTGGACATTCCCACCAACAGTGAAGGAGTGTCCCTTTCTCGCCACATCCACGCCAGCATCGGTTGCTTTTGTTCTTTTGAATGTGGGCCAGTCTCTGAGGTGTGAGATGGTATCTCATTGTGGTTTTGATCTGCATCTCCCTGATGATTAATGATGTAGAGCATTTTCTCATGTGCTTTTTTGCCATTCGGATTTCTTCTTTGAGAAAGTTTCTGTTCATTTCATTGCCCCATTTTTGGATGGGGTTGGATGTTTTCTTCTTGTGGAGTTTAACCAGTATTTTGTATATCCTGGATATCAACCCCTGAGACAGAATTTTTATACAAAACAAAATATACCTGTTTGCAGAGATGAATAGGAGAATCCAGTGTCTTCTATGCCAGATATTAAGAACTTTGTAAAATTATAGGACAATGATGCCCTCTTCATAAAATTTATTTGATTTTATACAATCTAGTTATTTTAATAAAATATGATAACAAGTGATGAGTTTTAAATTACTAACAATATTTTATTTTATGTAAATTTATGAGTAAGATAAATATTTATTAATTTTTGATATGGTGAATATTGTTACTGTGTTTGGCATATTGAATACTCTCTGTAACTTGCCAGGCTCTCCGAGAGGGGCGGAGGAATCGAACCCAGCTCGGCCGGGCTGGCTGTGCGCAAGGCAAACGTCCTACCACTGTGCTAAAGAAGTCTCACAATGGAGACATTACTGGGCCCGCTTGAGGGAATCGATGAACAACGGGAGGACAGACAGACAGACAGATGGTGAATAGTGACTGAGATCTCAATATAACACATATAAAGAAAACCATATTGGCATTCTCAATAATTTTCAAGTGCACAAAAAGGGGAATACAAATTTAAAAACTTAATAATTGCTGCTGATATCCTTGCATGGAAAGTATTAACTTGGATAATTACAAAAATAGGGGCATTAGAAATTTATCTGTTTGTGCTATTGTTAGGGAGCAATATGGTTTATTAGGGATGACTGGCATGGTTGGCTATCAAAACAAAAATAATCTCTAAAATGGAAAAAAATTCATCTATTACTTGAAGATTCTAGAAACTACTTTTCAGACTATTTAATTTTCAATATCCTGATTAGATCATTTCTGGGTCTTCCTAAGTCCTCCAGAGTCCTGTGTATAAATGCACTATTTTTCTTCCAAGAAGGTCTGGTCCATATTCCCTGCTCAGTATTGTCATCATGACTAGACATGGGATTGAAAGGTATTAGCAAATATCACTCAAAGGTGAGCTTTCAGTATATAGTGCTCAGGGATGTACCAAGAATTTCTAGGTACTAAGATCCAAAGATGAGATGCTTTTGTTCTAGAAAACTCCAATGTCTAGTGGGGAATAAGACTCCAGTTATAATATGATGTGATAAATGTTCTTGTTACATAGTGACTAAATTTTTCCAACCAAACATTAGGACACTCTCAGTAATATGACAATGGAGTAATCTTGGAGGATTTGGAGCACATGTCAACTTTTATAAAGAAACCCAACATAAAATTCTGTATAGATTCATACTTGAGTTGGCCCAAAGATTCAGAAATACTGGTCTGGTTTTTCTTTTATTCTGAGAAATAATAGCTCCAGGAAAGAGAAAGAAAGATGTTCTTTAGGATTACAAAAGATGAGCAGTGGACCCCTAATATTTTTGTTCCTTTGGGTTAGTAGACGGGAGGCATTGGAGGAAATTTTTTCCATCATATTTGTTCCAAGTGGTTGGTTTTTTTTCTGCCCCAGGCAGAGAGTCCAAGTTTGTTCATGCAGGTCTCTCCACACCAGCTGAGGCAGATCAAGCTGAATCCCAGAGTCAGAGGAATGAACCAGTAAGGACTTCTAAGATCTGCAGCCTTGATTACTTGTGGGTAAAATTAAACAATAGGGCTCTTGATCTGCCAAGAAATGTAGGAGGCCCCTCTGGGTGGGCTGTGAGGGGACCACAGAGGTTCTGGTCTGGTATTGGGTCTTCTTAAGTCTTAACCATGTGCCCCTTGTTCTTCCATCCTTTAGGGTCTGACCCACAACCCTCTTTTTAATCTTTCTCCCAGCTTTGCTGTTTTTTCCCAGTTGTGGCAACTCCAAAGTGAAGTGAACAAGTAATAAAGAGGACAATGATCAGAACAAGCACGCTCAGTGCCACACACGGCCATCCTGCCACCCACAGCAGTGAAGGGACAATGCAAGATCTTAATGGCAATCCAAATGAAAAGCAGGGCAAGTTACCCAAGAGCCCTTTTAGGATCTTGGATCCCATGCTTACATTTGATGATGGGAAAATTATGCCATCTCTAATCCTCATGAATTCATCCACAAAATAATGTTATTTTAAGGGCCAATGTACATGACATACATAAACAGGCTTGCCACAAATTAAGCTCATTCTTTGTAGTTATACTTTTTATATCTTTGTGTATTTGATACTGTCTGTCTCTCCACTAATTAGACAGCTCTGCTGTCTCCTGGACCCATGGTACATAGCACATGTTATATATTTCTTGAGACCACTGAATGATGAAACGGGAGATTATAGGGCTCTGGTTAAGGATATACTCCAAAACCAAAGTTTGGGTCTCGCTTGATAGCTCTCATAGATTGGTGCTGAAATTTGAAAAAAGGTGTTATGAAGGATTCTATGGTGATTTCTGGACTCAGTAGGGAAAGGGAGTGCTGATAGATTACCAATACCTGTTCTGGTTGAGGATGTCAAATAATCACTGACCATGGTCTGTGGAGTCAAACAAAAGTCTCTTGCCAAGTATTTCTAGCACAAGTAGACTTGTTGTGTAATTAATGGATAGAGCCATTTCAGCAGATCTGAGAATACCATATGACTGACCTGAAGTTAAACAGCACAACATCAAGAATACTATTTTTGTTTGCTTGTTTTGGGGTCACACCCAGTGATGCTCCTGGGGTTGCTGCTGGCTCTGCACTCAGGAATTGTTCCTGGCAACGCTCGGGAGACCAATGGAGTTCCAGGGATCGAATCTGGGTTGGCTGCATTCAAGGCAACCACTCTATCCTCTGTGCTATCTCTCTGATTCCCTAGTAATACTTTTTCACAATTAGAGATAGGAAAACACAGAGTAATTCTTTGCAAAGAAGCTGAAAGCATACCCCTCTGATAGCTGCTTAACTTGATGAACTCACTCACTCACTTGGAATGTGTTTCGTTAGTCAATTGGTATGAGCTGCCGACCCTACACACTTTAGCTAGTAGATCCCATAACCAGAAAGAGCTCTACTGTCTCCTGGGCCCATAAAGTAGCTCCTCTACTCACGAGGATAATCCTTTGGGTGTGTCTTCTCAGACCAATTCCCATAAAACGTGAGTCTGTACTTGGCAGTTCCACAGGCACAACAGTCTAAGATGGGTTTGTCGGTCACTCCATCAAGTGTGGAATCTGAAACAATTAGGAAAGCCAACCAGTGAGAAAATAAGTTTGAGTCATTTATAGAGCAGTGCCACATCATCTTGGTCTCAGCCCATCCTTCATTCTTGGGAAAAGAGCAGTTTGTTTTTCTTTTTAAATTTTTATTAGTGAGACATCATGAGGTACAGTTGTAGACTTACAAATTTTTGTGCTTGGGTTTCAGTTATACAATGATCAAATACCCATCCCTTCACCAGTGCCCATTTCCCACCACCACGGATCCCAGTATCCCTCCCACCCCCCATCCCCCCATTCCACCCTGCCTCTGTGGCAGGGCATTCCCTTTTGTTCTCTCTCTCTTATTGGGTGTTGTGGTTTGCAAAAGAGGCAATGGGTGACAATCATGTTTGGTCTATAGTCTACTTTCAGCATGCTTCTCCCATCCTGGGAGGATCCTCCTAACACCCTTTACTTGGTGCTCCCTTCTCTATCTGAGCTCCCTGGGAAAAGAGCAGTTTTGATAGATTATTAACAACCAGAATAAAGTTAGTGTTGAGGTTATAAAGGTTTTCATATACCTCTAAGCACAGTAACTGTATTTACAAATTAAGAATAAATCAGAACTATTGTTCTAATAATATGAGGAAAACTGGGCGGTCGCTGAGGAATAAGAGTATGTAGAAAACCAGGGATAAACTGTAATTAGTTATCTCTTCTGGGCCCTAATCTTCTTCCCCAGCCCTCCCAAACCAAGATTTCTTTACTACATTTTTAAAGGAATACGCATGTGTGTGTTTTCACCAAGAAATATTCTCTGGGGCTAAATTGCAAGGATAAGAAGTAGCTTTGAAGGAGATCAGGGAAAACAAGTAGAGAGATGTAAAGGACTGCTGGGAAAAAATGCATAGATAGTCACATCACTTCTTATCAAGCTTTGAGAGGCTTTACTGGAAAGGGTGGGGGTTGAGAATAAGTTCATGTCTGAGTATATAAGCAGCCAGGAAAAAGCAAGCAAAGCTCCCTCTCCACCCACATATTTAGCTGTGAATAGCTGATAAGTGGGGAAAGAGAGATTATATAAATAAATTCAGTATTTCCGATTGTCAAGCCCACATCCCTAACCATGTATTGTTGTTTTCAGTTTGCTCTGCTTCCTGAAAGATGAAAACAATGACTACAAGATGTAACTCACTTCAGTTGTTTTTTCTTCAGTTCTTGTAGCAGTATTAGCAAAAACTTTTTTTTATTTTGTAAATTGGACATTTATTCTTAAATACTGTATAAAAGCATTAACAAAAAGAATGATTTTTGAATGTCAGGAGTAGTTTATAAATCTTTCTTGTAGGATTAACTGCATTTATTTGTGAATATACACTATCAGAGATGGTAGAAGCAGTGATTCTGGGATCTAGGGTGGAGAAAAAATATAACAAATATAAAAAAAACAAATAAAATGTATTTCTTCTGTGTGCTCATTCCTTTTAAATATTTACAGTTACAGAAGGTAAGTACATTGGTTAACCTTATTTTCTAGACTGAGGCAGATTAGGTAACCAGTCAAAGGATACTGGGTTAGTGAGTGGAACGGGTAGAAATGTCACTGAGGTGGGACTGGAGAGATGGTGCAGTAGGTAGGGTGTTTGCCTTCTACTAGGCTGACCAGGGTTAGATCCTGGCATTCCATATAATCCTCCAAGCACTGCTAGGAGTAATTACTGAATGCAAAGCCAGGAGTAACCCCTGAGCATCACTGGGTGTGACCCAAAAAGGAAAGAGAGAGAGAGAGAGAGAGAGAGAGAGAGAGAGAGAGAGAGAGAGAGAGAGAGAGAAGGAGGGAGGAAGAAGAGAGAGAAAGAGAGAAAGAAAGGTGAACATATGCTTTGATCATTCCAGAAGCCCCTGCTGGACAGGTCTGCATGTCGTACATACTGATGTATCTGTCTCTTTTCGCTATTTTCAATGAAGTATGGTACATTTTAAAGATTACCTCCAGTCACAGTTCCAGGATTTCTACATTGTCTCAAAGAAGATGACCAAAACCACTCAAAATAGAAAACATTGTTTGGCTACTGTAAATACACTTGGGAAGAGGCCAGAGATTTGTGCGTTGGGGCAGGCTCCCTACTGCAATAGATACACACATCCCAGGCTGGAGTCCTGTGTGAGCTACTTTGATAGCTCAGGGACCAGCCATGTTTCTGTATTGCAGGAAAGGTGGTGTCAATAAATAACTTCTAAAGACATTTTCTTTTTACATTTCCACAATGACCAACGATAATGTGAAACATCTAAGTTAATTTTGAAAAAGGGATTCAGAGCTTAGAGGTACACGCTGGGGTTGCCATTGTAGCTATCTGAGGCTGTTAAATGAGGCAGCAATAATCTCTCAAAGAGGCAGAATAAAGCAAATTGGTAGCTTTAGCTCATCAAAAGAACTTTGGGACCATAAGTACCAAGCTTAAATATATTTTAGAGTTCAAGGGAATGCATTTATATGCAATCTCTTGTAATTCCAAAGGGAAATAAACTTCTGCTTATTAAAAAGATGCCTCAGTTTGAAAATAAATAGATATACTGCTTCTTACAGGCAAAGTCTTGCATGTTTTCAAAGGACAGAGGCAGTGCTGAAAGTGTTAACTTACCACTTCTTTAAACCACAGCAGGACTGTCCACTGAAGGTTACCCAGCTCTGCTGTACTGCCTTCTCTTCTCATTATGGGTTTTTTTGTTTGCTTGGTTGGTTGATTTTTGGGTCACACTCAGGGATCACGCCTGGTGGGGCTCAGTGGGCCACATGTGGTGCAGGGGATCAAACCCACGATGGCTGTGTGCAAGGCAAGAACCCTACCAGTTGTACTATCCCTTTGGCCCCCATTTTCACTCTTAATTTAAAATTTATTTTTATTTTTAAATCATTATTTAACCACAGTCATTTTTACTCTAAACCCTGAGATCCTTTTCAGTTCTTGTTCTTTACATTCTTTCCTCTTCCCTTTCTCAATACCTGATCTCTCCTGCAGTTTTCTCTTTGGCTTTCTCTCCATCTCTCCATCTGTCTCTCTCCCTTCATTGTGACATGGTACAAGGTATGCCTGTGTTTATTTTTATTAGAGCTCTTTTCAAACAGATACATGGGAGCCATAGAGATATCTCAATGTGCTGAGCATATGCTCTGCATGCAGTAGGTGAATTTAATCACTAGCATTACATGGTTCTCCAAGCACTGCTTAAGTACCTCTCATATCCACAGAGCTGGGAATAACACCAGAGTACTGGGATACTAGGCTATGGCCCTCAAACAAACAAACATGCATGCTTTGTCATTTTGATAGGATCTCTGTCTCAAAAGTGATGATAACCAATAGATATTTGCCCTTTTATGGAAAGTGTATATGCAGTATTTCTGCATATTTATAATTGAGACAAGCCTTCACACATTAGGACTGAAGTTTTTAAAAAGGCACTTTAAGGGCTGGAGCGATAGCACAGCAGGTAGGGCATTTGCCTTGTACATGGCCAACCCGGGTTCGATTCCCAGCATCCCATATAGCCCCCCGAGCACCATCAGGAGTAATTCCTGAGTGTAGAGCCAGAAGTAACCTCTGTGCATCACTGGGTGTGACCCAAAAAGCAAAGAAAAAAAAGGCACTTCAGCTACCAATTGCTGTCAGTATATGGAAATGCAGGGTAGTATCCTCTCTGATAGTCAAAATAACAGAACCATAGCACCATGGAGAGATTGCCATTTGTGGGTGTGGATCATAAAGCAGCCCATTAATGTGTGATTAACTATGGGACCTGGATGTTATCTCCGGGAGGTAAGGAAGGAAGGAAGGAAGGAAGGAAGGAAGGAAGGAAGGAAGGAAGGAAGGAAGGAAGGAGAGAGTTCTTTAGGAAGCAAGAGACTCAACAGTTAAGATGTTCTTTGTTTAGAGAAAGGCTGAGCAAACTTGTGGGCAATTAAATACAGAAAAGGAAAGCCCCAAAGGCTATATGTAGTGGTGGTCACCAGGAAGCAAACCAAGTTCCTGGCCCAGCAGTTGCAATTTTCTAGCCCCTGTGGCAGAGCTGGGTGCTACATACGTTCCTGCTGGTGATTAGTCTAGAGAGTCACTAGGGGACTTCTAAAAGGTACACAATTGTGCGTTCCTTAATTAAGTCCTGTGAATTTTTCCAAGGAACCTCTTCAGAATGATCAGTTTCACAAAATAAGAAGACGGCACCAATATAAGGTACATTATCTCCTACCCAGGGAATCACACTGAGTAATTAGAGCTTAAGGCAGATCCAATTATCCACAGCACACAGCCAGATTAAAAATTGGAGAGATGCAAGGAAGCAGAACCTGGAGGAACCCAGAAAACCCAACGATCTTAATTACTGTAGCCAGATTCCTGGACCAAATGCCTGGACCTTGCAAGTATTTGGCCCTCACCACCTGCAATTCTTACCTTGTTCACAAAGTTTCTTGGTGAGTGAGCCCTCATCTTGAAAATAAATGATGCGTTTCTGTACAATACTGGCCCTGTAGTGAAAGAAAAGACAAGTGTAGTGGTGAGCAAGGTGGGTTTTGGGTCAGGGGGTCAGTCAGATCCTTACTTGGCCGCCCATGACTGTGGTGTTAGGCGAGTCACTGGAACTTTCTGTGCCTTAATTGGAAAACTGGCTTAATAATAATAATGATACTGTCTACCTCATGGGTGATTCCTCTAAAGACAAAAATAAGAAAGTGTATGTCAAGAATTCAGCACATACCAAGAATTCATTCAATAAACCGTTGTGTTGTTGGTGGTGCTAAAATTGGTACTGAAGTAAGCAAGTGAAGAAACATCATTTTCAATAGCTTCCCTCATTGGTTTATTCTACTCTAAATTTATTTCAAACTATTGAGGCCATTTATGATCAACCAAGCTCAAATGGAAGAAGCATGTGTCAAAGTCTCTTCCTGAAGGAGGGAAAAAAGGAATTTAAAAATATATTTTGATTTGCTCTGAAAATGTCATTCTATATCTTTCCTGAAAGTCTAGACGAAACTGTCTCCTTCGTTCTGAACAAAGACGTCAGCTGTTAGAGCTCTCTCTTAAACATGTCAAACATAAGATCTTAGAAATTGGAAGAAATACTTTGAGGTTGATTTGAAAAATGATTTGCTTTGGACCAGTGCACAGTTTCTCTTTAATCTCAGACGGCTCAGACATACCATGTCTCCTTTAACCTCCTCTGTGGCTTACTTTTTGCAGGACTCACAGAGGTTGAATCCTAAAACCCTGCATTCCAGTAAAAAGAAAGTCTACACCACAAGACTGCAACACTTCCCATGACTCTCAGCCATTTCTACTGATTTTCTGCAAAAAATGTTACTCAGTCAAAAGATAATTTTTATTTAGATGTGTCCTATTTAGCAGGTAAACTAATCCTAAGACTCTATTGTGCTGACCACACAAAACAAGGGGTGGAGTGCCCCACACTGCCCTTTGTTACACGATCTCAGACCAGGAATGGGCCTGTGTGTGCATGGATCTGCCAACAACCCAGACAGCTTTCTCGATGGTCTGGGCCTAGGCCAAGATCACTTTCCAAAGAAATGTCTGCTGTACACCCAGACTTTCACAAAGGAATAAAATTTATTCCGGCCTACAGATGTCTTTTACAGTCTTTCCCCACCCAAGAGAGACAAGATGTTGAAATAAATGAATGAAATATGTTTCCTGTCTACACAGAACTGCTTTGATCATTTATCCATTCTGTTGACCATCAAACAGAAAGTTTCCTCAGGCCAAGAGAACACTCTTGAGAACATTCATTATCACCCCCAAAGCCAAATAATAATGCCTTCTGTTAGTCAGAGCTTCTCATCTCCCTCCAGAGCTTTTCAAAGTGCCCCCCACCCTCACCCCAAAGACATGCATCAGGAACCCTTAGGAAGGACAAGGAGAAAGCCTAGTGGAAGGCATCCTGGCCCCCATGCTTTTATTTCAACCCAAGGCTCCACCTGCATTTTAACCAATGTTGCCTTCTTCCTCATTTATCTTCCTCTTTTATGTAGTAGTGCCTTTTAACAAACAGTTGATGAAGGATAGCATAGTGGTCAGATATAGACACTGTTGTGACTGAGACAGGTGGGGCCAAAGTGGAAGGGAGATAGCAAACAGTGAAATTACCATAAGCCCCTTTAAAAGACTGTGGTTAAGTGCTCAAAAGAGGAGTCACAGGGAATGGTGGAGTACGATGCTGGATTCCTGACCAAGCCAAAAAGGCTCCCCACCCTGAGGAAAGGTGGTTGAGCTTAGACTTGGAAGAATAGGAGCTAACAGGCCAATGGAAGGGAGAGGCGAGGGATAGGCCATCCTTTTCAGATCCTTGTAGGGCTGGACATGGGCTCATCTGAGGGCCCAGACATAAGAAACCAGAGAATCTAGGTGAGATGAGCTGAGTGAGGGTAGGGGTGAAGGGAGAAGACGGTCATGACCCAAGTTCACAGAGCTTTCATTTACGCCTAGCTTGCTAAGGTATCTGAAGAGTAAGTCCTGAGGATTGAGGCAATTAGGTTTGCTCTCCTAAAGGAAAACTTGGACCACAGAGTGAAATTAGGCTGGCATGTGGTTGCAGCTTCTGTGCAAATTAAATTTTGTTTCAATAAAATTCTCCTGCTAATAACACATCCTGAATTATCAGACTAAATACAAATTTGCCATGCTATCAAGACACTTCATAAAATTTCCCCCCAGTTCTCCCTGGCTTAATTTTTCTCTTTTTGCCTTTGAGTAGTTTATACCCCTTGCCTGATACCACTTCTTTCCCAGGCCCTTGCCAGTATCCAGGCTTCTTCTGAGAATTACCCATTAGCTGCTTTTGCCAGCAGCAGAAGCAAAAACTTGGATTTTTCTTCCTTTTCTTGTGAATATGGTAATGACAAAATCTCTGAATGAAAGCATGAATAATGACACTTAGAAAAATGCAATCAACCCAAAGTTTCCCAAAAATGTGTTTATAAAATGTGGGTGGGTGTTGGGAAAGCAGAGATCAAGGACATGCATTTTCTAGAAGAGATCCAAGTTCCCTCATTCTTTGTTTTACCAAGTCTAAGATGACCTTTGTAATGTCTGAGCTCTTATTTAGGACCAATTACTGTGCTAGGGACACCCGTTAGGTAAATTATAATAGCACTATCTTTTGCTATACACACATTAAAGGTCCTCAAATTCCTCACCTAAAAATTTTGAGCAGTGGTGCTTTTGAAATTAATTTTTTTCAGATATTATAAAGTTAAGATGGCAATAGACATTAGCATCCCATAGTCAAACATATCCTATTCTGCAGCAAAATATAAATAAAAATCATAAATAGCTTCATGTCTCTTCAGGTCAAATTTTGGGAAACTCATCAAAATGTTCTTGTTTCCAGAGGAATGAATATGAATTTGTGGCCATATTTATCTTTTCTCTTACAAGCAAGGATGGTCACGGTATAGGAAGATTAAGTCAGGTGACCCATATTTGAAGTGTCTTTTGTATATCTCTGAAATCTTACTCTCAAAGAGGTTATAAGGATTGACAACTATTTCTATGGTATGCTATGGTATAGTAGCCCGTGTAGAAAAAATTAGTATGAAAATTACCCCCAAATGATTTTCCTTGGGACTATATAAGCATGTCATAGAGCCCACTGGAGAACTGAGACTTTAGTGGGTGTTGTTAACCTGGGTTATGATCCCCTGTAGCAAACATATCAGTGCTTGGCCAGCCCTCCGTATCTTGAATTTCCAACTCTATGCATACCTACATGTTCTTACCTGACCCTGGTGGTGTGGCCTCTTCACTCTCTAGTTCTTCCTGAACCATAGTTCAGAAAGTCATATACCACATCTGTCTTCAAAATCTCATATTTCTTAGCCTCTGTCCACTGGACTCCTCCCTTCTTCTAGGTGACCTCACACACACACACACACACACACACACACAGATGAATACACACATACATACACACAGCATAGTTTGCTTACCTACTTATATCCAATTAAGATGTTAATTTCCTTCAGATTGATTGATCTCCTACCACAGCGCTTACTAATCTAAATTGTAATTGTCTATTAACTTTTTGTATCTCTTGTGTTAAATATCAGCTTCTATGGAGTACAAGCTGAAGCTCAATTATTTATGTGGACATTAGTGCCATTCCAATATTGAGGTTCAAGGAAAAGAAATGGGGTTTGGGGGCGAAAAAGAGAAGTTGAGATTGAGCTCTGTGCAGAATATTATGGTGGTCTGTTTACTAGCAGTTGGACAGAAGGGCTCAGGAGAGAGAGGGCCTGACGAGTGGAGACTTTAGGAGTGGATGATGTCATCCAGGGAAAGCATGTGCAGAGAGAGGAGAGTGAAGCTGAGCTCAGAACTCTAAAGAAACACCCATCCCTCCACCAGTGCACTGTATGGCTGAATATCAAACATGAAAGCTTTGTAACTCTATCTCACGGTGATACAATAAAATAAAAAAGTAATGTGGAGTTCATGCCCAATTCAATCAGTTTAATCAATGGCTGAACAAATAGCAGTACTCCTACATTATTTAAAAAAAAAAACTCTAAGAAGACCAACGTTCACATACGGAAAGGCTAGCAGAGACCAAGATGGTGAGATGCTTGGCCTCAAAAGATGGTTCTTTTCAGTTCTCATTTGGTCAACTCCTGAGAGGATTTTATATTCTGAGAAAAATGCATTTCACTTTGAGTTGGTTCCTATCAAAAGCATAAAACCAGCTGAGATTTATAAATAATATTATACTTCAGAAAAATAATAGCTTTACAAGATGAGAAAGCTGTTAGTGAGAATTCCCTTAGCATTTCAAAATGACAAATCTCTCCCATTCTATGTTGCAATTTGGCAGTCCCATTGCATAGCATTTATATACTGATATACCAAATACACTCTTATCATGAGAGAGACCGTGTTAAGGAAATCTAAATTAAATTTCTCAGTATGTTAACTTCTCATACTTTGGAATATTGAGGTTCTAAATAACTTACTAATCATTTCAAAAGTTTTCTTTTAAACCCAAAGCAGAACTTTTCCAGAAATACCATCATGAATCTCTTAGATGCTCAGTCCTTTTCTGTTCAGAGGGTTTATTCGCTGGCTGTTCTTTTTCCTTGGGGAATTTGCTTTTTGGAGTAGACTTGTGAAGTTGTGGGTGGAGTTGTCAATTATTTTTAAAAAATCGAGATCCCTGCTGTTACCAAAAGGACAAGGAGACCTCAGAAATGAAAGATTTGGGAAAAATGGGCTTACAGATGACTTAAAAATGCACGTGATCATTAAAAGTTGGATCATGGACAGATAATTAATGTAAAGTTTGTACCACATGCATATAACACAAAATCAACTTTCAGTACTTGGTAGCTATCACTGTTGTTCAATACAAGCCTGTAAGTGCTTTAAAAGTACATAACAAACAGCAGATGTTATTACAATTGATGTGAGGTTTGCCTCCTTTGTTTGTGGAAGGAGGAGTAAGAGTGCTTGCTTCAGG